ATTTCCTTCCTATTTAGGTCACCACAGAGCAAGGGACCAGATGGTCTTAAAGCTTTACAAATTATCCCACAGCATTGAAGATGAGGGGAAAACTTTTATATTCTTTTTCTAAAGCAAGAAGAACATTGGTAACCTAACTATAATAAAGACAGTATGAAAGAAGACATTTACAAGCCAATATCACTTATGAATATTGATGCAAAAGCACCAACTAAAACATTGCCCATCAGAATACAACCCCATACAAGGAAAATAAGACAACACAGCCAAGGGGAATTTATCCCAAGACTCCAAAGTTGCTTCACTATCAGACATTCCAGACATAAAATTCACTATATTGACAGATTTCAGGAGAAAAATCATGATTCTCTCCATAGGTGCAAAAAAAGCCCTGACAAAATTTAATGCCCATTCCTGATAAAAATATAAACAGTAAGGAAAATAGATATTGATAGATACTTTCTTCACAAAACAAAATATATATACCATTTCCTAAACCCATCACCCCCCTGAACAAGAGATGCTACTGTCAGCACTGTACAGAGGCATTAGCCATTGTAATCAGACAAGAAAAATCAGTGAGGATCATAAGAACTGGAAAAGAAATGAAACTTTCTCTATTTGCAGAGGCTATGATCGTCTACCTGGAAAACCTTAGAGCAATGCTGTGCAATTAAACTTCTTGTGATGATGGAATGTTCCACATCCTCCATGTCCAAAACAGGACCCACCAGCCACATGCAGCTATTGAGCTTTGAAATAGGGCTCCTGTGACTGAGGAACCGAGTGTTTGGTTTCATTTCATTTTATGTGCGTACATACATTTATTTATTTATTTATTTATTTTATGTATTTATTTATCTTGGTTGCGTTGGGTCTTCGTTGCTGTTCGCGGGCTTCCTCTAGTTGCAGCGAGCGGGGGCTACTCTTCACTGTGGTGCGTGGGCTTCTCACTGCAGTGGTTTCTCTTGTTGTGGAGCATGGGCTCTAGGCGCGTGGGCTTCAGTAGTTGTGGCATGTGGGCTCAGTAGTTGTGGCTCACAGGCTCTAGAGCACAGGCTCAGTAGTTGTGGCGCATGGCCTTAGTTGCTCCACAGCATGTGGGATCTTCCCGGACCAGGGTTCAAACCCGTGTCCCCTGCATTGGCAGGTGGATTCTTAACCACTGTGCCACCAGGGAAGTCCCTGCACATATATTTTTATCAGCAATGGGCATTAAATTTTGTCAGGGCTTTTTTTGCACCTATGGAGAGAATCATGTGATTTTTCTCCTGAAATCTGTCTATATAGTGAATTTTATGTATAGAATTTCTGATAGTGAAGCAATTTCGGAGTCTTGGGATAAATCCCCCTTGGTTGTGGTGCTTTATTTTCCTTATATAGGGTTGTATTCTGATGGCCAATGTTTTGGTTAGTGCTTTTGCATCAGTATTCAACAGCTACAAGTGACTATCACATTGGACAGCAGGTCTGGCCATAGAGAATCAATGGGGAAAATTGACTCAAACAATAAGCGAGTTCACAAAGGCATGAAATTATCACACAGAAATCCAGAGCTTCACGTCCACACAAAATAACTCCCATCAACATCAGACACCAAGAAGATGGAACACTTTGGAATTAACCTAACAAGTGTGCAAAAGTCATTATTGGGACAATTAAAGAAATGTGAGTACAAATTGCAGATTAGAGAACACCTAGTATTGTATCGAGGTTAACATCCCGATTTTGACTTATGCTTCGGTCATAGGAGAATGAACGCCCATGTTTAGGAAACACACCCCTAGAATATTTAGGGTTGAGGGGGGCACCATTATGCAACTTAATCTCTGAAGACAAACATAGGAAACATTGACTTTTGGGTGATCTGGGAGAAAGGAATGCAGGATTCACTGACCTATTTCTGCAACTTTTCTCTAAATGTGAGATCATTTCACAATAAAAAGTTAAAGAATTGAACTATAAATGCCACGCTCTATGACCTGGCACTTCCTTGCAGGAACTTGGGTCACACTTGTGCCTGTGAGAACAGCTTCTACGAAGAGCTTCTCTGTTATGTCCATACTTTCTACTACCTTCTAACATCACTAAATTATGTGCGTCCTAACACGGCGGCTCCTTACATCCACCAAAGAAGGGCCGGGCAGATGGAGACAACCCCCCACACACAGACCACAGAAGGTGCAGAAGGGTGTGTATGTGGAGGGCTCTGTTCACACAGAATGTCCCCAGGACACCGAGAAACGCGGGGTGGCCATCTCTCGGGGAGGAACTCAGAGCACTGGGGTGGGGAAAAAATTCATGTTTCAGTACATATCCCTAAAAATTAAATATTTTAAAACTTAAATAATTTTGATACTGTCAAATACAAGATGGTACAGCCGGAACCCTGCTATGGGCTGAATTGTGTCCCCAAAAATAGATGTTGACATCCTGACCCACAACATCTCAGAATGGGACCTTGTCTGGAAACAGGGTCTTTGCAGATGTAGTTAGTTAAGATGAGGTCTTACTGGAGCAGGGCGGCCCTAATCCGCTAAGACTGGTGGCCTTCTAGGAGGAGGAGGCAAGACACAGCCGTATGAAGACGGAGACGGATGGGGGATACGTCCAAAGGCCAGGACGCCAAGGGTTGCAGGCAGCAATAGAAGCTGGAAGAGGCAGGAGAAGCCTCCCCTGGAGCCTCAGAGGGAGCGGCCTGATCTGACTTCCGGCCTCCAGACAGTTAGGGGACGCACTTCTGTGGTTTGAAGCCCCAAGCCTGTGTGTTAGGCAGCCCTGGGAAAAGTAACACAGACCCTGAAAGCAAACAGGCCTGAGCCCAAGGTGCAAACATCAGCCCATCAGCCAGCCTGCAAGCTCCGGCCCAGGAGCAAGGACACCCCCTCCCTGGTCGGTCCCTGTCACAGGATGTAGACTTGGCCCCACTGCTGTAGCCAGAAACCACCTCCGGTTTGTCAAGTCCAAACGTGGGCTCTTTCAAATGCTAATTGGGATGCATAGGGGGCCCCCCAAAGGAAAAGAAATAATGGGCAAAGCAGGGCCCTAAAGGAGATGTGAGGGGAGAGAAGGGACGGGAGGCAGACAGGAAGCAAGGACACGGCAGACGGGGGGTCTGCACACACTATGCCACGTCTGTGCGCTGCCCGAGGGGGTGGGGTCCAGACCAGAGAGCGGCGGGGACGGCGACAAAGAGCCCAGCAGAAAGTCTAGTGACGGCAGTGTCCGGCACAGGTAGGAACTCAGCCGCACCGACGTTTGCAGGGCGACCCCAGGTGACCAGCCCTGCTAAGCAGTTGTGTCCACCAAGAGAGGACTTTGTCAGCCCCGGGTGTCACTGGGGTCGTCCACTCACCGGAGGAGCCAGGCAGGGCCCCGCTTCACACGCAGATGCAGGAGCAGGTGCCGCAGCCAATACGCCTCACCCTGGTTCCACACATTAGTGTCTTAGCTGTGCCAACATGCTCACACACATACACACATGTGCACACGCACACCCCAGCTTTGAGGAGCCCTTCTGCCTCCTTATTCACTTACTCCCAGACCAGCTTTGCCCTTTCTAGATGGGTCGGAACAAGGCAGGCATCCTTACCAGGGACAGGAGCCACAGAGCAGGCGTCCACAGCCGCAGGGCTGGGAGTGGTTACGCCGGAGGACCGAGAACAGAGACAAGTGCTCTGACCAGCAGGACTGGGGTTCTGCTGTTGAGGTAGCGAGTCACTCACACACACAGGCAGAAATTCGAGGGAGGCTGTGGAGTTGGGTGGAATCGGGAGGCATATGGGTGTGAACTCAGTTTCAATCCAAGTGGCTACAGACCAAAGTGCACAAACGTGTGTGTGCACGTTCACGTGTTCCTTAGCTCCGTCCAAGAGCACCTAGAGTACTTTCCAAATCCTACCTCTCACTGAAGGCACCAGGCTCTGCAGAGTGGCCACGTCCAGGGCTGGGTGGGGACAGAAGAGCCTGAACACCTTCAGTCCAGAGAGTAAGGATAGACCCACAAAGAGGGGCTCCCACCGGCCAAGGCCCAGACTCTGGGGCAGGAGCATGAAATAGGACATTGAATGAATGAATGAATGAATGAATGGAGAGTCCAACAAGGAGCAAGACCTTTGGAGTTCTAAGGTTACGGCGGGGGAAAGAGGCATGGCGGACACGGTGCTGACGGACCATCACAGTGAACACTGCCAGAAACAAGCCACATGGAAATCACGCCCTCCCAGTCCTGCTTAGGCGAACACGTGTGAAACCCGTCCTGAAGCAACATCAGACACACCCAAACTGAGGTCCCCACGAGGCCATGGTGCCCGCTCTTCAAAAGCTGAAGGTCACCAAGTCCAGACAGAGGGGACGGAGATGTTTGCATGCTGGCCTGTCCTCCAGGCCCACCATGCATCAAGACTGACACAGGGTCCACCCAGGTGGGCTTGGGGCGTGCTGACTTGTCATAGCGTCTTCCCTTCCCAAAAGACCCTACAGCACAGATTAGCTTTTATGTTGAATTTGCTTTGGCTTTTCCCTAAGAACTTGGTGACCCTCCCTCAGCACAGAGACCTCCCAGAATCCAGGGGGCAGGACCCAGAGGGAAGACCTCAAGGACTTTTTGCTCCAGGCAAGACCTCTGCTCTCAGAGGGCGGGCGCGGGAGGTCTGCCTTCGGAGCAAGTTCTTCCCTCCCAGGGGTGCAGGCAGAGCCACAGCTCTGGGCCAGGGCCAGGGTCAGCTCTGGGTCAGGACCAGTGTCAGCTCTGGGCCAGGGCCAGGGTCAGCTCTCAGAGAGAAGGCCCTTCCTTTCTTCCCAGCCATCTGACCTACCCCAAATGGGCACCCCTCACAGTGTTTTCTAGGAAGCCATTTCTCCATCTTCTGGTCCCCTGCGGCATCGAATGGGACCCCTGAGGCACTGTCACCCTCACTATGGCCAGGGCGGGGGCGGGGGGGGGGGACAAGGAACCTGGTGTGCTTTCCGGGCCGGTGACAATGAAAGCAGACCTCCCCTAAACCCAACAGCCCGCTCGGCCCCTCTGCCTGTGGGGACTCACCCCGCGTGGCCCAGGCTGGGGCTCCAGGCAGCAGCACCAGCTGGTGGAGCCGCAGCTCCTCCTCCAGAGTGTGCCCCCCAGGCCCATCCTGCCTGCTCCCCACAGCTGCCTGGGGCAAGCTCGCTGCTTCTCTTCTCTGTGTGTATTTTCTCTGGAGCCTGACCCATGGGCTTTTCTGCATTCTCTTTGAGATAAAAATCAAAAACAAATCTTTAAAGACCATCTCCAAAAACCACAGAATGGCTGGAATTAAATAAAAATAAAGCTTGTGGTTTTCCTTTCAGGAACTTCCTGCTTATCTGAAATGCACAGAGTCAGCAGCACCTCGGAGCCCGGATGGAGGTTCCCGGGGCCTCAGCCTTGGGATGGGGTCATCCCAGCAGGTGACTGGCCACCCTGTCCCGGTGTGCATCACGGGAGGGGGACAGTGGCCAGACCTGCTGGCCTAACGCCAATATACACGTGTGTGCAGTCCACGTGGGGGCTGACGAGTGTCCCCAAATATCCACATCCACCCTGATCTGTGCCCAGACTGTTCTGTGTTCTCTTACGAGACGGTCGGACACGTGTGGGCACAGAAGAATAGCTCGGGAAGACAAAGTTTATTAGACTCAGGGGTCCTAGAGATGAGGCCACACATGCAGGGCCATGGGGAAGCACCCGAGTGGAAGCAGGAGTCAGGGGGAGGTCTAGGAGAGCCTTTATCAGTTCCGGGGGTGCTGGGGTTGTCCCCAGCTGTCTGGTCCCTCTTCCTGGGTGATTAAGGGCAAGGGGGAATGTTGGCACCGTGTGTGAGAGGTGGATAAAGAGGTGGTGTGGGGTCTGGAAGCAAAAGGTTTCTTAAGATGTCAAGACATCACAAGGTACAGAAAATGGTAAAACATGATGAATACAACCTGAATATCAGGTTATGACATTATTTGGAAACGGGGTCCTTGCAGACGTAATAAAGTGAAGGATCTTTAAGATGAGATCATCCTGGATCAGGGCGGCCCTCAATCCAACGACTGGAGTCCTGACAGAGGAGAAACCACGCAAAGATGGAGGTAGAGGCTGGAGTGACGCGGCCACAGCCCAGGGACACCTGGTGCCCCAGAGGCTGGACAAGCCCGGAAGGACCCTCCCCCTTCCAGCCCCCGAGAGCCTCCACAGGCAGCACAGCCTTGAGACACCTGAATCTCTGATTCAGGCTCCAGACTGCAAGAGAACCAGTGTTGTCTCGGGCCCCCAGTTGGTGGTGATTTGTTGTTCCCTGAATCCGCGGTCCCAGAAACATTCCAAGGGATTTCGGCATCATCTTGAAACAGCCTTGAGAAACCAATAAAACTGTCCATTAAACTTTCCTTTCAGCTGCCATGAGAGCACCTTTGGGACGACATTAAAATTTGGGGGCAGGAGGACGGAAAGGATGCTTTTTGGTGGGTGCTGTTAGTCTGCCAAAACTGGCACCACAGAAGGATAATCGGGAGGTTTTCAGCTGGAAAGCCTGTCGTTTATGACCAGGTCCTTCTGACCACGTCCCGGACCACAGGTTCCTCCCAGGCGCCAGGTAACACATACTGGGATCCGCCCACGTCTGAATACAGCATAAAAATCTCCCTTGTTGCAAGTGGAGAGCTTTCCCACACGATTAATTTAAGATGCCGGGACACACGGGGGCGAGGCATCTGAAACCTGCTCAAGATCTCTGCTGAATTCCACGTGGAATTTATGCGTATCTACGGATTGCCAGGAATAGATCTATCATACTAACGACTGCAGGCCTTAACAGCACTCACACACATCTAGTGGCAAGTAACAGAACTGCAGGAACACAGGTGAAAAGGAGAATCTGGCAGCTTTAGAAGCAGTCTTGTGCTCATCACAAAATTCCCACCTGTACTTGTCTCTCCCTACCCTGAAGATCACTCTCTTAGAATGTATATTCCACGCAGCCTTATCAGCCAGGAAGACTTTGTCATACTTTCTGATCCACGTTAGTACTGTAAAATAAAAATGAGTTTTATTTTTAGAAAATTTTCCAAATGCAAACCATAACATAAAATTTAATGTGATTTTTCTTTCAGGCCATATTGTCTCAAAATCCTGACAGAGCCTCCTAGAGGTGGGGGCCGGGTACCCATCTGAAAATCACTCTTCTGGGAAAACTGACTTAATGATCATGAAAAGATATGGACTGCTTCACACACTTGCGTGTCATCCTTGCACAGGGGCCGTGCTAATCTCTGTATCGTTCCAGTTTTAGTGCATGTGGTGCTGAAGCCAACACCATGTGGAATTTAAACCGACACTCGCATGAATAACGCCGATGTCCGCGCCCCCTGTAACCCACAACCGCCTTAGGGGGCTTCCCCAATGTGTTTCATCAGCTCCTCCAGACCAATCTAAGTCTTAGTTTTTGTGCAGAATAATCTTTCTTCCTTGTATTGATGCGGGAAGAAATAATAGTTGTTTTCACAATTCACCATCCATACACGGTAACAGAAGACAGTCGCCTATCAGAACACAGCTTTGCTAAAAGTGGCTGGTTGGGAGGCAAATTCCTAATTGTACTTGGATGGGACAGTGGGTTAACTTTGCCAAGAAGCAGAGTTTGGAAGAGAAAAGAAGATATAGACAAGGAATCAGATTAATTTCTTTTGTGCAGCAAAATATTCTATCAGCTTACGGCTATAAAGTTCTAACAACTAACAAGCTTTACTGAAGAGAAGAAAGAAACCACACACTGGCCAACATGGAGCCCAAGGCCCAAAGCTGTCTTCGACTTGAAGAGATTGGAGCAAAAGCAAAGTCACTCGTGAAACAAAAGCAGAGAGGCTCGAAGGGAGCTGCACACATCAGTATTTTCAACGAATAAACATCCGCAGGCACCTGTTTGCTGGGAACCAAGAGAGAAGAGCAAAGACTTCAGAAAAAAGCAGGGAGTGAGGCGCGGGCCATGGGGACTAAAAGTCATCTAATTTTATCTGGCTTCTTTCCAACGGTAAAATCTAATCCATCATTTTCTCTGGGTGAAAGCTCTTAATGAAAATTTAGAGAGTGCAACTGAAATTTAGAATTCTCTGGGGATTCTGCTGGGAAGATATCTAACAGCCACACAAAACTCACCGCAGCCAAACCTGTCAAGAGAACAGACCACGTGGGAAGCCATGGGGCTGTACCATGGCTCCCGGACCTCCGTGCCCCTCGCCACCACAGGAAACATCCTCCTCCTGCCGGGGAGGAGGGGGTGGCTCCTCCAAGACCCCAGCTTACAGCTCTCAGCTCGTGAAACCCTGTGGGAAGGGCCAGATGGAGAGAGGCGGCCTCTCAGCACCACACACTTGCACCCTTGACACCATCCCCTGTCCTCACTCGGACGGACGGGGAAGGAGTCTCGCTGGTCTCCCTCGTGCAACCATCACACCTGTCTAGTTCCGGACTTTTCCATCACTCAAAATGAAACCCCACACCCATTAGCAGTCACTCCCCACCCCCTCCCCCAGCCCCTGGCACCCGCTGATCTGTTTTCTGTCTCTCGATTTACCTGTTCTGGATGTTTCACACACAAGTGAACTCATGTCATGTATGTGGCCCTTTCTGTCTGGGCTCTTTCACTTAGAATAATGGTTTCAAGGTTCATCCACATTGTAGTGTGTCAGCACTTCATTCCTTTTTACAGCAGGATGATGCCCCCTTGTACGGATGACCACGTTCTGTTTATCCATCATTCGTCAATGGACACGGGCTCTTTCCACCTTACGGCTGCAGTGACTGTGCAGGAATGACCGTGGGCAGGCAGGTATGTGCTCAGGTGCCTCTTTTCAATTCTCTTGGGTGTGCACCCAGGAGTGGAGTTGCTGGGTCACCTGGTAACTCTGTGCTTAACCTTCTGAGGAACCTCCAGACTGTTTCCCACAGCGGCTACACTGTTTTACATCCCCACCAGCCATGCACGAGGGTTCCAATTTCTCCACATCTACGCCAGCACTTGTCATTTTGCATTTTTATTATAACCACCAGAGAGGGGGCAAATGGTATCTCGTGGTGGTTCTGATTTGCATTTTGCCAAGTATCTTTTCAGGTGCTTGTTGGCCATCTATCTATCTTCTCTGGGGAAGTGCATTTGAATAGTCTTTCTCCTGTTTCCACTCGCCTTTCTGTAGCCCTGTATGTAGGAGGCTTGGGCGTGCAGGGTCCCGATGCTCACGTGAGGCTCGCAGGGTCGTCCAGCATGCCCTCCAGTACACAGGCTGTGACCTTTGGTCAATGTTTGGAAACAGGGGGAGGGGTGATCTCAGCCTTTCAATGATCTCCTGGGTGTTCCCTTGTTAAGGATCTTTGATCAAAGGACATTATCATCCAGTATATTTTATATTTTATTTTCTCCTGGGAAGAAATGGACCCCAGTTATCCCAGAGCATAAGGAATGACCCAGAGGTCAGGTTGACACCTCAAGCCGAGTAATGTAAGACAGCAGCCAGGGCTTCCACACCATTGAAACCTGAGCCCACTGCCACCTCCAATCCCGGAGAGGGTTTGAAGAACCAAAATTCAACTGAAAAAGCCAGAAAACACGTAGTGATACCAGATGTCACCATTAAGCTTACAATAGTGACAAATAATTTTTCTACCACTTCAAAGTTGTGTCACCACGTCCATTCCCTGCACCACGAGCTCAGAATCCCCTTAATTTTCTGCCTTTGATAAACAGGCAATTCGGATTTGTTTCCACAAAAGCAGAGCCCACGCAAAATTCTCAACAGATGTACTCCAAGCACACACGATGCTAGAGAGCCATGTTAAAGCATTTTGCATCTTAACTCTCTTATGTTCTGGAGTGTCTCGCCCTGAAAAACCAGCATGATTTAAGGGAGCTCCCCAAAATTCAGAAAATATGTTCTTCTGTATCTACATGAAAATACGGGTATGACCTCTCACACTTGCAACCTGAACATTAGGTTGCCAATGATAAACATTCTAAATCATCTCAGCAAACCTCCGCCCAGCACATCTGCACCTGGTTAGGGTGTGGCTTCCAGAAGGAGGGGCAGACGTCCTGCACGCAGGTTGCTCCCAGCTCCTCCTGAGGGCAGAGGTCACCAGAGCTGGCTGAGGCCCAGTGGCTCCTGTTGGCTCAGGTGATGGAGCCAATGGACTCGCTGTTCTCTCTGAGCGCCAAGGAGATGACAAGTTCAGGGTATGGTGGGAGCACACAGCAAATCCCCCTTTTGTTTCCTATGTGGGACATTTTGAACCGAATTTAAACCAAACACGGGAAAAAGCTAAAATTTTTTTCAGTTTTCTGACACGTGTAGCCCCCAAGACGATGACGCATCGCCCGCCCTGTAGAAGGCATGCCCCTCCCTTCTCTACAACCCTTGCCTGCCTTCCTGGGACCTTCTCACTCACCTTCCTGCCTGACAATGTTTTGTTTCTGATGAAAAGCCATCTTTTGTCTGCCTAGGGGATCAATCTCCATCTTCCCACTCATTCTGGTGAGTTTTTGAGCGTGATGTCACACATAAGGGGAGGAGGGGCAGTCCCGGCTCCTGCCCTCACATCCCCATGCCCCCTCCACCCGCATCGCCTCACCCCACCTCCATGTCTGGCCAAGTTACGGAGCCTCTGTGGTGAAGGAAGCTGTAGGGTAGGAAATACCTTTTCCTTTACCCTCTCACGTTCAGTAACTGACGTGTGTGGACTAAACTGACAACAGATTTAACAGAAGAAAAAAGTTCATTCGTATGCACATGGGAGCCAAGAAAAGTAGCTGGCTCAGTAAATGGTTTCAATTAGATGCTTATATACCTAATTTAATGGGGGAAAGGGAGCCGGGAGAAAAGCCTTCCTACAGGAAAAACAAGTCTCTTTAGGAAAGACAAACGAGTTTTAAGAGAACAATTGAAACATAAGAAGGTATGTGATAATGTCCCCGAGAAGGAACTTGGGATAGGATTTATTCACAGTATCCCCCCTGGAAGCAGACAGGCCCGACAATTTACGGCAGCCTTATTTCCCAGAAGTTGCTCTTATTCAGATGAGGGACGCTCCAAAAAGGCCTCTTTCTGCATCTATTGATTCTCGAATGCCTTCAGCTCAAAATAAACCTCACGCCAAGGTGCTATATTTTGGCTCGGCATATCCTGATCCCCTTCACGGCCCTTAGCCACACGTTTGCCCTGTCACCCAGCGCTGGCCAAGCCCCCGGGGTCTGCGGGACTCGCTGCTGCACAGGCTCCATCTGCTCTTCCTCCAAGACCAGGCCCAGCAGGTCTTTTAAGGGCCACTCAGTCTCCCACATGAGGGTGATTAGAACACCCAGTGGAGAAGGGACCAACAAGGGAGTGAGAGGCCCGCGCACCGCAGGAAAAGAAATCACCTTGGGGTGACACTTACACAGCACTGACCATTAGCCCCTTCCATGATTTAATTTATCTAATCCTCACACCCTGTGGGGTTAGCCCCAGTTCACAAGTGAGGAAACGAGGGCACAGAGAAGTTGAAGCCACACAGCCAGGAGGGGACAACACCAGAATGTGAACTCCAGCAGTCTGGCTCCAAAATAAGGCCCATCCCTGAAACACCAGACCATTTGTGAGCCCAGCTCCCAGGGCACAGAAGGCTCCTGGGAGCATGGTCAGCAGGGGCCATCCTGCTTTCCTTTCTCTTACCTCCCTCTGTTTCTTACACAGCGAGCTCTGAGCTCTCCAGCAGTGAAATGGGGTAGCCTGTGTCATGCACAACCAAAGCACCTCCGACCCTCACTAGGGAGGGAGAAATGAGGCGTGTGGATATTGAAATGGGAAGGTCTGGCTGTTCACCCATAGCTGAAGCAATCCAGATGAGCCCAACTCAACACCTGGTTTGCTTTTCTGAAGACAAACAACAAAAAGTTCAATTTCTGGGGGGCAGGGCTGGTTCTGTTTCTGCTTTAAATGCTAAGCAGATTCCTCGGCTGGGGAGGCCACGGGGCGAAGAGATGCACACAGGTGGAGGGTCTGGAAGAAGCCGTGAGCCAACAGAAAAGAAGGGTCCGGAGACCGTCTCTCAAAGGCAGCAAGAACCTCTGCGACCACATCCTGCTGCCCAGGGTGTGGGGGGGCTGCCTCGGCGGGTCCTGCAGATGGGAAGACTGCCCATCAGCTGTGCCTGAGAGACAACAAGAAACAGAGGCTCATTAAGAACATTTATGAAAAGCCAGGAGCCTCGATCCTCGCTCAGCATCCTCACTCATTAAGGGCATGTCAGTGGAGAGTGGAGCCAAACATTCTTTTTCTAGGAAGGAAACAGGCTTTTCCACAAACCAGTTGTCACCAGGACAATGAGGGGTAAGGCCCAGACTGCCATACAGTTCCAGGCTGCTCCCACCCCAAGTGCTGGGAAGGTGACAGGGACAGTCTGGAGTGGGGCCCCCACCTCCCAATCCAGCCCAATCCACTCAGCCCAGAGTATCCACCAGCCCCTACAGTCACCACCTCGTCAGTGCACACACCCATGCTCCCCATCACCCCTCCTGCCTGCTCCCTGTGGAGCCTGGCCCTCAGCAGGAGCGGGTCACCCATGACTAACACCATCGGGGGCCTCAGAGCCTCATGGGGATCCTGAGGGGCAAAGCAGGTGAAAGCAGTGGCTCAAGGCCCTGAGGCCAGAGTGAGGCCTCCCAGAAAAGCCAAAGGGGGAGTCTGAGGAGACGACAGCCTGAACTCACAATCCCATTAGCTCACCTGAGAGCAAGCCCAGCGGGGAGACAGCAGGCTGGTTGCCCACTGGATCCAGGGAACATGGGCTGAGCTGGGAGGACATGTGCTCCCCGGACAGAGCTCAGCCACCAGGACCAAGGAGTCCCTCACCAAAGCAGAGCCTCGGCTCCCCCTGAGATGAGGCCCCAGACCGGAGGGGCTGCAGGGCTCCTCACCAGGTGCTCCCACCAGATGCTCCACCAGATGCTCAAGGGTATTGGGCCTCCATCTCCCTCAGCCCTGTTTTGCTGTTGCTGCTTCTATGACACCACGTGCTCTCCTGGCCCCGGGCTGCCGTCCCCTCAGGCTCTCGCCCCTTCCCTCTCTCTTTCTCCCTTTGAGGAGGACAGGAAGGACCCTGTTCAGTGCCTCTAGCCCCTCTCAGTCTTAGGGGAGGGAAGCAGGACATACAGAAAGGTCGTGGTCCGAGGAGCAGTCACCATCTCTCTGCCTAACCATGAGAAAAACATCTGACAAACCCCAGTTGAGGGGCACCCTACGAAATCCCTGACCAGCACACCTCAGAATGGTCAAGGCCATCAAAACTAAGCCAGAGACCCTATCCCAGAGGAGCCCAGGAGGTGTGAGGACCACACATCACGGGGGCCTAGCACAGGAAGAGAATGCTACTTAACACTGTGCTGGCGTTGGTTCATAACCGTGATGAGCGCGCCTCACAAGCGCAGAGGTTAGTGACGGGGGGTGCGCAGGGCAGGGGACACACAGGGACTCTGTCCTTCCTGCTCAGTTTTTCTGTAAACCTAAATCTGCTCTAAAAAAGTTTTAATTAAGTCTATACTTAATTTTTTTAAGTAGCAAGATGTCCCCACAATCACAGCAGCCCAGTCTCTCCATAGACCCCAAAAGGTGAAAGGACCAGGACCCTCACAATCACCCAGTCTCTGACACAGACGGTGTCCTCTGGGAATCTCAAATATCTGGGCCTCAGCAAGACCAACAGGCAGAGTAACCTTGATTACAAATCAGACTTCCACAAGCTCATTTCTCCTCATAAAACTATACTAAATATTTTATGACTGACCCTCCTTATCTTCAACAAAAGGAATCAAAAAGCAGCAAATCAATGGGGACAGAACACCAGAAAGGGCGTGAGTCAACGATACGTGGTTCACGAGGTGGGTCCAGGGTCATAGGGCTGCGAAGAACTATATGTTCTCAGCCCTGACCTCTTGAAAGGGTACAGTGGGATATTCCAGAGGCTATATACCTGACAGGCAAAGTCGGAACCGACTCAGCAGAACCAGAGCCAAGAATGCAGCTCCTTTAAGAGATCTGCTCAAACATAAAACGATGGGAAAATAATGCTGTTTTTCTTTAAAACGTGATGTTTACATGTAGTGGATTTATTAAGGAGAGTTAAGGGGTCCTGAGACCGAATTTGAAAGCTAGGTCCAGCGTTTGCAACGTAGGGAGGCGATTGCATGGGCCTGTGGCTCCACCTAGTGCCAGGCAGGGGACACGGGTGGCCCAGCCAGCCGAGGATGGAGCCGCCTGACACCACCATACAAAGTCGTGGAGATTCAGGAGGTATGTTTTTGGGATTCGGGTGAATGTAACATGAAACTCTGTCCTGGCAGGGCTGCTGGGACCCTCCTCCGAGATGCAGCTCCACAGACCTCGGCACAAGACCGGCTCAGAGCCTCCAGACACCACGGGGAGCACTCTCACCATGCCATCGACGCATTTGCCCGTTAGACATGGGCCCCCCAGAAGGTGGGACTTGGCTACCTGCACAACCCAGGCCCTGCCCAGGACCAGGCCAGGGGGCTTAAGGAGGGAGGGGCTGTGGAGGAACAAGGAGAGGCGGCCTCCAAGTTAGAACTCAGGGACTCACCAAGATAGGGTGGCAGTGGGGCCCCCTGTGGGTGTTGAGCAGCACCCCTAGCCTCCACCCCCCAGACGCCACAACTACTCCCAGTGGGAGCCGCCATCTACACCCTAGCAGACGGTGGTGGGACAAGATTGGATGTGGATCCCAGGAGACCAGCTTCACAGGTGTGCAAAAGGTCACGGCTCCTTTGCTGTGCCTTGATTCACCAAATTTTGTCTCCAACACGTCCCTCCCCCTCCCTGCAAGCCTGCTGTACTTGCTGTCCAAGCCACAGGCCACCGGGACAGCGCCCCAGGTCCTTAACTGACTCATGCTGGAATACAAGCTTTGTCCACTGTCACCTATCTGCCCAGCCTGTAAGTTTTACACAAAACTGCCTGGTGTCCACTCCATGACACACCTCAAAACGCATCTGGAACAATAATTAAGTGGCTAGCTCAGGTTTCCAGAACAGCCCTTTAGGAGGGAGGGAGGGTGTCCCTCGAAAGGGGCAACGTGGGGAGGGGAGACTTGAGAGGGAGGACCTGAGGAAGGGTCCTGAGAGGGAGGGATCTGCGAGGGGGACATGGGTGGGGGGACCTGAGAGGGAGGACCTGAGACAGGGGACCTGAGAGGGGGGGACATGGGTCAGGCAGAGGCACCCTGCCGGCTCTGTCGCCTGACTCTAACATCGCCCCTTTTTTCACGGAGTCCCGCGGCCGGTCACGCTCACCAATACCGCCGTGCGGGTGTCCGGCCCCCTCAAAGGTCACCTACCATAACTTGACAGGAGCCTGGGAAGCCAGATCAAGGGAACACCTGAGAGCCACAGACATGACAACACCGGCTCCCTCCACGCCACACTTCCGCCCTGAGGACGCCATCGCCCGGCTCCAAGATGGCTGCGCCACGCACGACGGCGTACCACAGAGGCCCCGCCCCTCAGCCGGAGGGCGGGCCCTCTGAGCGCTCCGCCCGCTCCGCGCTTCGACCCGGAAGGGATCTCCCAAGCTGGCAGCGAGCTTCCAGTGCCACAGGCAGTTGAAAAAAGGGTAGCGGCGGGGATCGTGGACCTGCCCAGGTTTTGGCTGCCTGGAACCTCCTGCAGGGCGTTCCCTCGCGGAGCCGTACAGTACTTTCTTCATGATAAACACCCCACGTTAACACCAGTAAGACCGCCGGAAACGTTTGTTTGGCTCAAGCTTTCTAGATAAATGGGCCGTCAGCCTCCGTGCTAGGAGTCCTCGTCCAGTAAGGACTTTTGATAACGACATCTGTCGCGCGGGGTTTCCTGCCGAAATCCTGGCCTTGAGTGGAAGCCCACTGACCCTGTTCTACGGTCCCGGCGGCCGAGCGGCCAGGGCCCCGCGGTGCGTGGGCTCCTCCCGAAGCCGAGTCCCAAGAGCAGATTTGTCCTGGGTGAACCCGAGCAGCGAGCCTGGCACATCCTGGGGCCGTGAGCGTGGGGAGGGCCCGGCGGGTGTGCCCTCGGTGCCGCTCCCGCCCGTCTCCACCCCGCGAGCTCCGCTGCCCAGGGCGCGCTCCTTGCGTGGACTCCCGTTGGCTTCGTCCTCTCCCGTGTCACATGACAGACGCTCCGCCCCCCCCCCTCCCCGGGAGATTTAATTCCGGGGGTAGGAGGGGTGTCTAGATCCCTGTAACTCTAGTGTCTGCCTCTGAGGCTTCAAGTTCTGCACCCCATCTCGCCAGAGCAGTCTGCACAGACTGCATCTCCAGGTGGCAGACACGGCCCAGGGGAGGGAGCCCCACGCTGGACCTGGGAGGGGTGAACGTCCACAGTCCCCATGGAGACCTCAGCCCCTGGCACAGGACGGGGGTCCTTTCTGGGAAGAGAGCTTTGTGATAGTTGAGGGTGCCCATTCAGTCACTTGCACTGTGCAGTCACCAGAGCTTCTGTAGCTTCTGATGAAATAAGCAGATGGCCAGGGATTCCAGGTGTTTGAGGGAAGTCACTAAATGAAGGACACAACACCCACAGAAGAGGGTGGGACCTGGGCAAGCCCCAGAGCCTCAGTTTCCTGCTCAGCACAGGGGCCAGTTCATCAGACTACCCTAGACGGCGAGTACTGCTGGACATTGTCCTTGCCTTGGGAGGCGGCCCCTGCCTGACAGAGGTGTCTCCTCCCTTTGCTTTTGTGGAAAACCTCTGGGCACTGAAATTGTTTCTAGGAGGCCTCTTTCATCCACTCCCACGTGGTGGTCGTATTGCTTGGGACTAGAAGCACACGTGCTGAAGGTGCAAGTCCCACTGTGCTTGGCCACTGGCCCAAGGGCAGCGGGGGGGCGGGGGAGGGTGGCTGATAGGCTGGTCTGCACCCGTTTCCTCTGTGAGGCAGCAGAGGTGAAGTGCTCCTGGAAGTGGCCCACTGCGCTGGGCCAGCCTTGCTCCACCTCGTCAGGGGGTGCATGTGTGGGGTCAGCTGTGAGACAGAGTGTGGGGGGCCCTCCACACGCCCCCAGCCCCACTCGTGTAGCTGCACGCTGCCGCTGCCCCATGCTCAGATAGAATTCTCTGCAGTGCTGCACAGACCTGGGGGGTGCAAGTCAAGAGGGAAGACTGAGAGCCACGCCCAGGCCTTTGTAAGGACGCACTGGTGGCCCGATGTGTGCGTCTGCCCTACTCACCCACCTTCGTGGTGCATGGCCCTTTGGGGGTGCAGACCGGTAGACTCACCAGCAATGCACAGGACCACTGAGTGGCATCGGCCTCATCAGGAGGGGACCCCCATGGCCTGTGGGCACTGGAGTGTTCGGTGCTTAGGTGGGTGCAGGCCCTGGGCCTGTTCCTGAGCCTCGGAGTCCCGAGATACAGACCATGTGCGTCTTCCTGTTCCACATGCTGGCAGGAGCCAGCATCACAGGAGGACTGGAGCGGGCGAGGAAGGAGATGGAGTCACCTGTGGACCGCAGAGCCGTTAGAATAAACCACTTAACCAGAGTCACTTCCCTGAGACTTTATGATTCAGAGCTTGTGCCGACTAGAGCCCATGGTTCCCTGGAATCATTTGTTGTATATTTTGCACACATGAGTCTAACAGCTTAAATTATTTTTGAAAATTGTTTTCAAACATTCAAAGATTATCCAAGAACTACCTAGTTTTTTGTGAGCTCTGTTTAACTGGGTGAAATAAAGCTTCTTTGGTATCTTCCAGTCCCCGTGTTCGCCTCTGCTGGTTTTGTTTCCAGGGACAGGAAACAAGTAGGCACATCCCCCGGGGCCACTGTCACTGTGCCTCAGGAGCGTGTCAGCCTGTTGTAAGACCAAGGGCTCCACGCCCACCCTGGGACGGAGTGCTGTCAGGCTGGGCGCCCGCCAGGCCTGGGCCTGCAGCATGGAACACTGTCTTTTAGTTTCCTCACCGGAGGCCGGTTGTATGTAGGGTCTGACCTCCCCAAGGTCTGAAGCGAAGCTGCAGACACGGGGGAGGCGGTCTCACTCAGGCCTCATCACACCTGCATGTGGGGCTGGATCTGCCCAGGCAGGGCACTCCATTGCTGGGGCACCATGTGGAAGAGAGCCCTGGTCTCAGGAGGACCCTGAGCAGGGAGCTGACAACAGCCTGGGTGGCACTGGGTCGCCAGCATGCCCAGAAGGGACCAGGTGAGAGGCCGGCCTCAGCTCTGGCCCCGTCCAGCAAGGCCACGGGTTGGAGTGGCATTGGGACAGCACCAGGCTGCAGGTCCCATCTGGTGGGGGCGTTTCCTGCCCCTGCTCCCTGAGCCCTCCTTGGGGACCCTGCCCAGAATGGGTCAGAGCACCCCATACACACCACTGTCTGATTCTTCCTGAGCACTAAACCTAGCACAAGGGGGACCCTGCCTCAGGGTCTCACTGCACCTCCCCCCATGCCCACCCTGTCCCCAGGAGCCCAGCCCACACCCCCGCCCCAGTCAGGAGCCCTGCAGGTGTGGGGCCTGGAGCAGCCGTTTCTAGGCCAGTCAGGAGCCCTGTTGGTTCTCACCAGCAGCCCAGTTAGTGGAGATAATTTCAGAAAGGCTGCTGGTCTCCCGGGATCTGCTCTGGGCAACTGTAAGGTGGCGTCAGCCGGAGCACAAGCCGTCACTGCTTCTGGAGCGTCCTCCTCCCACCGCAAATCACTGGGCCTTTGCTCATTCCAGACCCACCCGGTACCCCTGGGGTGTCTAGGGTTCACAAGTCCAGCCTCCCAGGAAAGTGAGAAATAGGAGTTGCTGGGTCCCCCAACTCTCACCAAGGACGGGAGCTTCACAGGCTCACATGAGCAGGCATGCGTCAGCTCGACCACCGCATGGAGTTTTGGCCTCTGCCACATGGGGCCACCAGGGTCAGCACAGGGACCACTTCTGAACCCTGAGGGTCCACAGGGCAGCGGGTGTGACCAGCACTCATAGACAGGAAACAGTACCTCAGAGCAGGAGTGCAGACCCTGCGCCCCACACAGCTCCCTCCTGCAGGCCAAGCTCCCGCCATCCTGATGACGTGACGATGCCCAGGTATGTTCAAGTGTCATCACTAAGGCCTGTGTGCAGCTCTAAGGCTGATTTCAGCTGTGGTTACAGTGGAGCTCTCTGATCCGCGGAGGAGAGATCAAACAGCGCCTGCAATGCAGGCCCCGGAGCAGACCACAGGGGCCATGCCCTGCCGGGTCACACCAGGGCATCTTCCAGAGGACTCTCAGGACACTGTTGTACCAGAACCTGGTCCTGGGTTCCCTGTCCTGCCCACACCCTCAAGGGAAAGGCGTGGGTGGTGGCAGGCCCTGGCTGGCCTGGGTCTCAGTCTAAATCTTGAGCCAGTTCTGGGGGCTGACTCGACACCCTGCCCCGAGCCCCCACCCCTCGTGAGCTGGGCCCACAGCCACAGGAGAGCCACAGGAGAGCCCCAGGTAGCCCAAGCAACACAGTGCATGTCCAGTCACAGGGCACCCAAGGGGCCAGGCAGGGGGGTGGAGTGAGGCCAGCATTGCCAGCCATCTGCCCTGAGGAGGATGCTGGCACCCTTGGCTCTAAGCTCCCCAACCCCCATAAATCCATAATAAAAATAATCCCTACTTTTCCTAACATGGCCCAGTTCCCGAAGTGCCTCCTGATCCGTCATCACACTGATGTGCCAGAGGGGCCAGGGAGGCGCAGCTGACCTTGTTTTATGCGGTCACAACGGGGAGGGCCCAGGAGCCCAAGGCAGGCAGGGAACACCCCCTACCCTGTCCTGCCTTCTGAGTGGGCGCAGAGTCAGCCAGGGGAGGCTGCAGGAGCACCTGCCGGGGGTCTGGCCCCGGCTGCCCTGGGGAGCTGTGGGGTCTGGCCTCTGAAGGGATTGGTTGGTGAGCTGGGCCCTGCCACCCACCATAGCTGCCCAGTCTGCCTGCCTCTGGCCTGGGAATGCAGGGCAGGGGCCGGAGCAGGAAGCAACTCCACCCAGGCCCAGGTGGCCTGGCCAGAACAGGCTCACACTGTGGTGGGTCAGCTCTGGGCCTATCAGTGGACACTGCTGAAGCCCCAGGGGGATGTAGCATCTTGACCCCATCCTTGCTATTCCCACCTGGCGTGGTGGCTCCAGCCCATGAGAGGCAGCAGCGGCTGAGATACAACCTAACAGCTGATAGTCTTTGGGGCTGCACAACGTGACAGCCCAGCCCATCCAGCCCAGTGGGAGGACACGTCACCCAGGGCCAGAGCTGACCCCACACTGCTCCCGGATGCATCTGCCACCCCCAGCTGGTGCCCCAGCAATGGAGTGCCCTGCCTGGGGCTAGCAGAGTGTGCCTGATGAAGCCAGATTCCCAGGGGCAACCCAGCCCTGAGGAAGGAGGGCAGAGAGTGGGGGCGGTGCTAGGGCCTGGCCCAGGTGGCAGGAGTGGGCGGGGCACCTGCCTGGGCTCTGCCTGCCTGTGTGCCCGGCTCACTCGTCCATCATTTCGCCCTCGCCATCACTTGGCCCTTGTCATCTTTGCCCTAGCGGTCACCGTCCAAGGTAGGTCTGGTGAACTGGCTCCTTGCGCTGAGCAGGAAACCGAGGCCTGGGGCTCTGGGGCTTGCCCAGGTCCCATTGGGCTGACCTGGACCACCCTAACCCCCGAGGCACCCTTGCCTGTCCGTCTGCGGGCGAGGGCAGCCGCCCTGCGTGTCGCAAAGGGCCGGCCTGACCGGTGGAGAGGACCCCTCCGTCCGCGGGCTGGCTGCGTGGGGAGCCGCGTCCGTGCGCCGTGCGCGCCGCCCGCAGTGCCCGCCGAGCCAGCGCCGTGCGCCGAAGCCGGGGGCGCGCAGGGCGGGCGGCGGCGGCTGCGGCTGCGGCGGCTGCGCACAGGTAAGGCTGGCGGAGACGGGGGAGGGGGCTGCGGACCGGGCTGCCACCGCCCCCAGCCTGGGAAGCCCCCGCCCACGTGACTCTCTGAGAACCTGAGCCGCCGGGTGGGGTGCTGGAACTCGGGGTCTCTAGGAGGGAGCCCCTGCTCGCCCCCCTGGCTGCCCCTGAAAAGTCCCCCTACTCCCCCGGCTCTCACCCTCGCTCCTGGCTGACCCTCCCAGGAGCTCCCTCCACGGCCTGAGGCAGGCGAGGTCACACTCCTGGCAGGACCTGCCCACACTTCCCAGGTCAAGGAAGTCGGTTCTCTGGCTCCCAGCCTCAGTGATGCGGGCAGGGGATGGAGGACAGCAAGGGGCTCCCTGGACCCCTTGAGTGGGCTGCAGCAAGGGAGACAGGAGCGACCTGCCCTCCCTTGGCCGCAGCTGGCCGGGTTTCCTGAGAGGTCTGAACCTGTGGCTGTGACAGGCGGGCCCACCCTCAGAGACGGGGCCACAGGCTTGTAGGCAGGTCAGAGGAGACATTGGGCAGTGGGAGGCTGCAGGGGTTCCAAGTCTTGGACCAGCTGCTCAGCCTGGGACCCCAAAATCCCCAGCATTTGCCCCCAGCCCCCTGGCCAGAGATGCAAATAGCAGCCCCACTCTCCTGGCCCTGGATTAACCTGCCCTCGGGGTGGGCTTTGCCCATGCAAAGCAGGGGGAGGCGCGTGTGGGTATGGGTATGGGTGTGTGCGTCAGGGTCCCACCCCTGACACGATAGGTTTCTGCTACCGGGAGTGGAAAGTGGGTCTTGCAGGTGGAGGGTCAGGGGACCTGTCCTGTTCTGCTATCCCCCAGCACCGGGACATTACCCCACCTTCTCCAACCCACAGGCCCAGCCTTGGTGAGGCTTTGCTGGTGGGTAGGGGTGGAAAGTTTTCTCTGCAGTTAATTAGCCCCATGGGAGGTAGGGGGCAGGCACACAGGGCCTCATTAGTGGGGCCTCAGCTCCAGCCCTGTACCCTGGTGAGTAGCATGGGCTGTGGGGGCCTCCCTAGGCAGTGAGCTGGTGTCAGTGTGATAGGGTGGGGGCTCCCTCCCTCCCTTTGTTGGGGGGGTGGGAAGGGGCTCACCAGTGGGGATGGAGCATCTGGAGGGTGATCGTAGGCTGGCAGCCCCCTGGCTCTGTTGATTCCTCCCATACCTTCTAGCCCCAGGCTGGCCACTTCCGAAGCCCCGGATGCCATGGAGGAGTGGGACGTGCCCCAGATGAAGAAAGAGGTGGAGAGCCTCAAGTACCAGCTGGCCTTCAAGAGGGAGATGTCATCCAAGACTATCCCTGAGTGAGTCCCCAGGACCCCATGGAGCCCCGGCCACACCCCACCCAAGGCCAGCCATGATCTGCGTCTGTTTCCCTGCTCTGTGCTCATTTGTATGAGCCAAGACCACACCCCCACACACTGCCATCAGGCAGCACTTGAGGGACGGCAGGTGCCCTCGTGCTCACCCTACCCTCCCCACCCACAGGCTCCTCAAGTGGATTGAGGACGGGATCCCCAAGGACCCCTTCCTGAACCCCGACCTGATGAAGAACAACCCGTGGGTGGAGAAGGGCAAGTGTGCCATCCTGTGAGGCCCCCACACCCCAGACTCACGCCTCCCTGTGAAGAGAACGACTCTGTAAAAGTGTGACTTTTATAAAGAGTTTTCAAGCATGTACATGCTTTTGTACATTTTCTAGGAGAGAGAAAGCAACACCCAGGCACCCAGTGTGTATCTGGGGACATCTCGTGTGGCTCCAGGGTGTCCGGTGTGGATCCAGGGTGTCTGGCACAACCCCAGAGTGTCCGGCATGGACAGGGGGGTCTGGCACGGCCCCCACAGTGTCCAGCATAGATCCTGGGGACGTCAAGTGTGGGTCAGAGTATCTAGCACAGTCAAGGTGGCAGCATGGATCCTGGGGGCTTGGTGTGGCCCAGGCTACAGCAGGTCCCTGATGTACAGGCTGCGCCGCACGGCGTTGGAGACGCCCTCCTTGAAGCGGAACCAGACGTCGCTCCTGCCCACCGCGGTGCCCATGCGCTGCTCGGCCGTGTCAGTCTCAGGGGCTGCGTGCTCTGCAGGGGCCACACAGTCTTTCCTCCACCCGACCCTGACCCCAGTCCCTCAACCGCCCCCACCTCCCCACACACCTGTGCTCGGGGCTGCCGCTCTCTTGACAACCACACGACCGAAGAAGTCCCTCTCGGGCTAAAGGAGATAGGCCAGTCAGGTTCACGGGGGCTGACCCACAGCAGACAGTCCCCTACCTGGTGGGAGGGCCCAGAGGCCATCTCCCAGGGAGGAGGGGTCTCGTGGCACCTCTGGGCAATGGCCCCCTACCCTCACCCCAGCGCGGACCCTCTCTGCAAGTGTTCCCTCCACCCTTCACCACCCTCACAGTCGCCTGCTCCCTGCCAAGGTCAGGTCCAGGGTGGGAGGTGCCAGCATCCTGCCCAGATGAGAAACTGAAGCCAGGTGGAACCATCATGCTGAACAGCAGGGAGCTGGACCTCCAGGACTTAGAACCATAGCACTCCAAGGTCACCCACCCAGGCCCACGTGGCCCCACCCTCTGGCCACCTAGCCCCGCCCCCCCATTAGGGTTAGGGTTACCACACCTGCTCCTCCAGGGCAGCTCTCTTCAGGATGCACTCCAGCCGCTGCTCGTGGCTGCATGGGGCAGATGGCTGCGCCCCTTTCTCCCCAGTGCCCCCCAGGGGACCCCCGTCCACCTACAGGAAGTCACGTACAGTGAGAGCTGATTGGGCAGGATCATACCAGGGACGGTGTCCACTCTGAGGGCCCTGCTCTGCTCAGAGCCCGGGGTGGGCTCACCTGGGGGCCGACCCTAGCCCGGGCCAAGGCCTCCACCCGCCGCATCTTCTCCACTTCAATCTCACGGGCAATGAGCTGCTTGGCCTGGTAGGTGAGGGGCTTGCGGGTGGGCAGCTCGGGAAAGCGGCAGACATCCTCCACGTTCCTGCTCTCGGGGTGAGCAGGGCAGGGCAGGACACCAGGGCACTCAGTCAGCAGAGACGGGGCAGGAGCTACTCACTAGCACCGACCCCAACTGCTGGAATGCGACAATGCAGGACCGGGTCCAGTCCTGTCCCTGCCGCACCCAGCTCTGTGGCAGCAGGGGTGTTATCCACTCTGAGCCTCTGTTTCCCCAGCTGTATGTGGGCTTGAAGAGGGCTGCAAGGGAGGAACTGACACAACGTGGCATGGCCTGGATTCAGGCCTGGGGCTGGGTGCTTGGGAACCAGCATCATTACTGCCTCAAGGATCTGCATCTGGACACCACTGCTGCCGGTCCTCCATCCCCACGACCCTCTCAGGACAGAGAAACGGGGCCCTGGGGAGCTCAAGGGCCCTCTGGGGGTAGCTCCTGGGGGCACTGAGAGGCTCTGCAGTAAACCTCAGGTCCCAGGGCTGTGCCCACCCCCCAGTCACATCTGGGCAAGGAATGAGCTAGGACTGACTCTCCCACCCTCCAATGGGGAAACAGACTCACACCTCCAAAGCCATGCATTTAGACTCGCGCCGAGCAATCACCATGGCACTTGGAGCCCAGCCCCCCAGCCTCCTGCCCCCAGGCACCCCCACCCCAGGTGCTGCACAGACTCACGGCTCCAGCCTGTAGACATACTGCCCATCGGGCGTGCGCTCCTGGCAGTAGGTGAGGCTATAGGCGAGCATGGTGCCCACGAGGCTGGCCAGCTGCTGTTTCTCTCGGGCGCTGTACAGCTGTGTGCTCACCTGTGGGATGGTGGGCAGCAGGCAGGGGTGCTAAGCGTGGCCAGGGGCCTGCCCCCACCAGGAGCCACAGCCCTTCCAGGCAAGGCACTCACAGGGCGCAGCTTGGGTGCGAGGATGTCCAGGAGCAGGCAGAGGGTGTCCAGGATGAGCGCCTGCGGTGCAGCCCGGCTGCGGGTGGCTGGCGTGATGCCCGACACCAGCGTCTGCATCAGGTTGTGTGTCCGGCTCATCCGATTCTGGGCCTGGGGTGGAGGGCAGACGAGGACCAAGTCACCCAGGGCCCCGGTGTTAGACCCTGGGTGTGGGCAGGGTGTGGGGCGCACCTCCTGCTGGCTGCTGGGAAAGGTGATCCTCGGCACGTGGCTGGAGGCAAAGAGCAGGTGGAACGCCGGGGGCAGGAAGGGCAGGTAGCGCAGCAGCTGGAAGCTCTGGCCGTGGTGGGCGGCCCGGCTCAGCAGGTCGTCGAAGGCCAGCCAGTCAAGTGCTATGCACACGGCTGCCAAGCTGGAGTCCCGCAGCCTCAGCCGCAAGAAGTTGTCGAATAGGCCCTGCGGGCAGGTGGACGGGCCAGTTCCCTGAGCCCCTCCAGCCTCATGCCCCCCCAGCCCACAGCACAAGCACCACCCAGTGGGACCCTTCCCCTCCCACCTGCTTGCAAGGCCCAGGGTCTCAGGCACAGCTGCAGACACCAGCAAGTAGCCACAGGGCCCTGGGGACGGGGGTGGCCAGGAAGGCCCACCCTGCCACCCCAACTCTGGTTTGACCAAGACCCTGAGACATGTGAGAAAGAAGCCCCCAAGCCCTCCCTAAAGGAAGTTCTGTTCACCAGAATCAAGGACACAGAGCCCCCACTCTTGTTCCATGTGGGAATCCCTCACCTCCAGCCACCACACTGCCCTCCACACAGTGGATTTCCAGATTTGCAAGGATCCCCAGCTGCTAATCCAAAGCTGCTTAGCCAGGGAGGCAACTTACACCAGGCTTCCCAGGGGATGGGGGGCATCCACCACCTGCTCTCCACCCCACGTACACCCACATCCCTGTTCCCACAGCTCACATCCAGAATCCAGCTACTGCCGGGGCCCTTCAGATAGTTCCCCAAGAGCAGCCAGAGTGACTCCATCATACGACCCCACGCTGGCCATCCCCCTCCTGCCAGGGTCAGTCCTTCCTCCCAGCCTGTCCCTGCTCCCACCCCTTCTCAGAAGCCTCCCGATGCCCCGTGTCCACTCCCCGCCCTCCCACCCGCCTGTTTCTCCTCGGGCTCAATACCATCTGAAGCGTGTCCCACTCACTGTCTGGGGATGAGAAACAATGCCAGATGCTGGCCTCCTGCCCCTCAGCCCCCCGCAAAGGTTTGAGGTAGAGCATGGTTACCTGGACCACCTTTTCGTGCTCACCCGCAGAAGCGGCCACATGCAAGATGTGGTAGAACCGCTGAGAGGCCGCGGTCAGGGGCACCTTGGTAGCGAGGGGCCCTGAACCCACGTGTCCATCACTGAGCAGGAGTGTGTGGGTGGGCAGGGTCGGGTCCTGACCCACGCGGTGCCTGCAGAGAGGGCCCTGAGGCTGGAGTGGAGCCCCCGCCCCATCACCCTGGACCCAGCCCTGCCCACCCTTTCCCTCCCGGTGGCACCAGCTTGTATACATTTACGATACCCTGAGGTCCCCGAGAAGAGACAGTGAGGGAGGCCGAGGCAGAGCCAAGCAGCCCCCAGGGCCGTGCAGCCTCACAGCCCGTCAGCAAAAGCAGAGCTGGCTGGCATCCCAGACTGGGGCTGGCCTACCTACCTCCGGGCCTGGGGCAGCTGGAAGACCTCCTGCCACACGGAGAAGAGCCCCTTGCGCTGGTCCTTGAGGCCAATGCGTGTGGTCTGCACAGCCTGAACGCTCAGCTCCCGCTGGCCCCGCCCATGCAGGAACTGGACATGGGGTGGGGGGTGGGGCGGTGAGGGTGGCTGACCCCCACTCGTGTAGAAACTAGACACGGTGGTGGTGCGGGGATGGGGGAGTGCTGGCTGCTGGCTGCCCCTGCCCCACCCCCGCCACGGCCACCTGCCCACCTGTAGGGCATTGATGCAGGCGCGGATGTCGTTGTCTGTCTTCTCGCAGAGGGCCGCCAGCGCGCCAGGGTCAGGCCGCATGCCCCGCCGCAGGGAGATCTGCAGGGAAGTGAGAGGGTGAGTGTCCCCCCGACCCCCACCCTAAAGCCACCTCCTCCCTAGAAACAGGGGTCAGCTTCTGTCCTATGGGGAGCAAAGGCCAAAAATCCCTGAGGGAGGACCTCGGTCGTTGCTTGGAACCACCCACCACCAGAGACCAAACTGTCCCAGCACCTCCACCCCATATCCTGGGACCAGCTGGGAGGCTGGGGGCCTGACGGCAGAGGGAGGGCAGCCCTCACGGACCTCCTGGAGCCGCTGTGTGAGCCTGGAGGGCAGCGTGGGCGGGAAGTGGAGCAGGAGTGCCTGCTGCTTCAGCTGCCGAAGGGAGGGCACGAACCTGTGGGATGAGCGGTTTGCACAGCGAGCCCACCTGGCCAGGGCCGCCAGGGTGCGTGCCACAGCCCAGCAGGCGTGGGGCACGCCCACCCAGCGGAGACCACGCCCCGCCCCGCCCCGCCCCGCCCCGCTCACTGGTCATTGCAGATGCAGATGATGGGCCTCATCAGGATGCCCCCTCCCGCCCGGCGCCGCCGCCCCCCGCCCGTGGGCACAGCGGGGCCCCCTGGCTCTGCCTCCTGTCGGCCCTGGCGGTCCAAGACGCTCAGGAGAACATTGATGGCGGCCTGGGGGGACATGCAGACGGAGGTGAGTCACAGCCCCCACTGCCTGCCCACCCGGCCGCAGCACACCCAGGAGGCCCACCGTGGGGGCCCCGTCGATCTCATCGATAACCAGGCAGTTGGGCCTCCCACCAGTGCCCAACACCGACTCCATCTGCGTGGCTGCCTCGATGCGCGTTCGGAAGGCCTCAGGGCTGCGGTCATCACTGGAACCAAGAGGCCAGGGAGGGGCTGTCAGGGCAGCCATGGCCTCAGCCAGGGCAGCAGCCAGTGTCCCCAGCAGGACAATTTCCCAGGGCAGAGCCACCACGTGTACAACTCACAGATACTACACAAGGCCACCCCATGACACTGCGGCCAAATCCCAGTAAGCCCTGAGGATGGACTATTCCACAGCCCACCACCCCCAGGCTTTCAGGGTTGTATCCCAGGCTCGACCAGACACATCAGGACAAAAGGAGACCTGGCCCTCCCCCAACTCACCTCGCGTTCATTTCCACCACAGAGTACCCAGCGTGCCGCGCAATCACATGGGCCAGGGTAGTCTTGCCCAGCCCTGGGGGCCCACACAGCAGCGCCACCTGCAGCCGAGGCAGGAGAAAACGTGCTGTAACCCACACCACCTCACGGACTCTGGGAGACCCTGGCCCAACCGCCAGAGACTGAAAATCCTATCCCATGAAGCTCAGTGCTAAGAGATGTTCTCCTGCCCTGCCCCAGTCACCAAAGGAGAACAAGCCCCTGCCTACTGGTCGTGCAGAGCGAGAATAAAGCCTTGCCTGAAGTGAGTGACATTTGTACCTGACAAAGACACAGCTGTTACTGACGTGACTAACACCCAGAACCCACCCACAGTCCAGCATAATCACTGTGGGGAGGTGCAAGGCCCTGCAAGGAGTGCTAGTCTTATCTAAGTCATTAGAAGAAAGGACTCAAATCCCAGCTCACGTTGCTGACACTCCTCACCTAGACTCTGACATCATTCCACCTACACCCTTGGGGGCAGTAAATGTGCCTCATGGCCCCTAGAGGCTGCAAAGGTGCCAGCCATCCAGAGAACAGCCCACAGCCAGGTGGGCTCACCTTCTGCCGGGGCCGCCCGCTTGGATCCAGCTCAGCCTCCAGCATCTCCTCTAGCACCTGTCCGTGGCTTTTCCACTTGCTGGAGGCTGTGGCCTCCTTGCCACCAAGGGCCGGTTCCACACTGGGTCTGGGCTTCCGGGTGGGCCGCTCTCGGCCAAATACCACCAAGTCCCACAGCTTCAGCCACTTGAGGAGGCAGCGGTTGGTGAACTGCAAGAAGAGAGGCCCGGCCTGGGGGGGCGGCCACCAGCACCAAGGACTCCTAGTGCCTGCCCCTCATGTCACCCTACTGTCATGAGCCCAAAGACACACACAGTGATGCTGAGGCTGAATGACAAGTGATGACCGGTGAAAGGCTCTGTACTGGCCTCAGTTTCCCCACCTACAACTCAACGAGGCTGGTCAAATCCCTTCTCCAAATCCTGACACCTCTGTGGGCTGGCAAAATGAAGACCTGCTAGGCCCTAAGTACTTTTCTCTCGGCAACAAAGAAGCCAGTCACACTTCACTTAAGCAAAAACAGGACCTCACATCGTCACTGAGCAGCTCCGTATAGCGTTGCGGTGCGAACTCATCCACCCAGAGGCAATGCTGGGAAGCATCTTGGCTGTCAGCCGGCTCCTCCTCAGAGGCCCCCGAGGGCTGGGGCCCCTCCTCCACCTCCTCTGACCTAAGACTGGAGAGCATTGTGCCCTGAGCCACTGGGCCTTAACCCCATGCAGGGATCACATCCCCCAGAATACATGCTGGTGGTCAGCAGTCCAAGGACCGGTGAGGACCTCAGAGGTGGAGGGGCCCACTGTGTCACCTGCACAGTGTGTCCGAGAGCCGCTGGGCCTCTTCCAGCAGTCGCTGGCGCCGCTGTGCAGACAATGGGGTTGGAATCAGGATGGCTCAGCCAGCCAGTCACCCCTGAGCTACCTCTCCCTTCCCAGCAAACCCCAGCAGACCCTACCTCGCTGTCGATCTTCTCCTTCAGGGAGGCAAAGGACACACCCAGCAGGTCCAGCTGGCCACGGCCACGCCACCGGATGTCAAGAAGAGGGCTCTGCAGGGAAGGGAGAGCATCAGTCACCCTCCTCTAGGTTATGGGATTTCTACAACCCTCCTCCCAACAGTGCTCAGGGACCTAGATGGCATTTCCTAGCATCTAGGCCACAAGGAGCCCCTTCTCACCAGGGACCCCAAGGGATCATTGGAATGGCAGCAGATCTAAGGTGGAGAAGAGAAAAGAAGTAAAGAGGAGGAGGAGAAGAAAAAAGAAAAGAAAGAGGAGGAAAGTGAAGGAGAAAGATGGCTCTCCCGAGTGGAAGACTAGAGGCCAGATGGACCTCTAGAGGGGTTCCCAGGGTCAGGGTAGGGGATGTGATGTCCAGGCCCCCGCTCGTGTCTGCACAGCACCCACCTGGACCCCAGTGCCCACTGGGTCAGCCCGAAGCACTAGAAAGGCCCGGTCGCCGCCCGTGGAGGTCACATTGATGTAGTCCTCCAAGACAGGGGGCCGCCTCAGGACAGGATTGCGGGCGGCTGGCGAGGCCTTAGTGAGACCCACATCAGCCCCGGTGTCCAAGGGCCTGGGAAGGGACCATGACCATCTTGGGGATTCCTGGGGAAGGGACTTGGATCCACTGCTGGCTACCCAGCCCTCCCACAGGCCCCCAATCCCCAGCCTTCAAGACATGGTTGAAGAAACCAGATCCTTCCAAGATACTGAGATACCTGTACCCCAAGCTACACACCCCTTGCCCCATAGTTCAGCAGGGACCTCAGGACTCGGTGGGGGGGTGATGTCCTGAGTCGGGGAGTCAGGAGGCAGCGGCTCTTCCATCTCATCAGATCTGAAGTTCAGTCTCCTGGCAGCCTCCAGCCTGGACCGTTTGACTTTGGGGGCTGGGGAGACACATGGAAGGAACAGAGGTCCTTCTCCAGCCTCGAACCCCACCCCTATGCTCTGGGCCCCCGGAAAACATACTAGGGGGCAGGGGTCTGTCCCCGTGGATGTCAGCGGCCAGCTGCCTCTTCCTGGCACCGCCCTTGCTGTTCCTTGGAGGTCCGCCTGGAGAGCAGTGAGTGGCAGCGTTCCCTCCAGCAATGGTCTCCTCGAACGTCAGGCGGGGCCGGCCCACGGTGGGCCAGGGGTCTCTGGAAGGTGACATGGCGGTTGTCCCTGCGGAGAGAAAACTCACAGCAGTCATGGAGAGCAGCTCGTCTGCACACAGTCACAGCCCCCGAGGTCGGCGGCGCTGCAGGGCCCTGCTCTCTCTCAGGTTGTTGCTGCCTCCCGGCCTTCGCGCCTCCCCTCCGAGCAGCCCTCCTGGAATCCCCGGGTGGGCCAGACCCCTGTCGAGCTACGGGGGACGAGGCCACGGCAGTGCCCACGCCTACCTTCCAGCTCGGCCAGCACCTCGAGCTCGGCCGCGAACTGGCTGTGGAAGTCATCCTCGACGCCGTACAGCTCCCGCTCGTAGTCCTCCATGGCCGCCCGCCGCCGGCTGCGAACCTCCCGCGCCCAGCGCGCAGCTCCTGCCCAAAGCGACCCGGCGCCGCCAATCAACGGCCGGCGTATCCGGACGCTCGCCATTGGTCAGCGGGAGGGGCGGGGCGTGGGCGGGGCTGCGCGCGCAGGCTGGGCGGGGCCGAGTCCGTACGTTGGAGCTGGAGCGGCGGGATCCGGGCGCTCTCCATTTGTCAGCACGGCCGCCCGTCTGCGCCGTGGGCGGGACGTGGGCGGGACGTGGGCGGGACTGAGCGCCCAGGCTGGGCCCGGCGAGGCGCACCTCTGTGGTCCAAGTGACTGCTCCGGGGCTGCTGGGCCACGAGGCAGGGAGACGCGAGGGCAGGAGCCAGGGCCGGGCAGCAGCATCGGGGGCCCAGACGGCGCAGCTCAGCTGCAGGTCGATCTCGGAATGGGCAGGGGCGCGGGAAGTGTTCGCAGTGGAGTCCGCCGGGCACCTCTCCGCCTGTGCCCATCAGACGCGGGAGGCGAGGGTTCCTCGGAGGGGAGGCAGGGCAGGGCACGTCTATGTGGGAGAGGGAGAGCCCCATCCCCTGCCCTGCACCGCACTCCACTCAGGAAAAGGCCCCTATCGCGCGTCCGTGGCCCGTCCGGGAAGGGTCCGTGGGAGCAGGCTGGAGGGCAAGACTGCTTCTCCCCAGGCCCAGGTCTGGCAGGACTGCCCCACAGCCAGAGCCTAGGGCAACACTAGCTCCCCTGATATTGGCCAGACCCCTGCTACTTGACACCCTGCTACTTGACTCAGAGGTGGGAGTGCAAGCACACAGTAGGTCTGCAAGCTTGCCTGACACAGCCTCGGTGGCTTCAGACCCAGGGCCCTGGGGAGCAGGGGTGTCCACGCCAGGTGGGCAGGGCCCTGATGTGGGCTGGGCACCCCATGACCCCGCTCCATGTACTTGCCCTGCATTGCAGCCACCATGGAGCCAGGCAGCGTGGAGAACCTGTGTGTTGTGTACCGGAGCCGTGACTTCCTGGTGGTGAACAAGCACTGGGATGTGCGCATCGACAGCAAGTCCTGGTGGGAGACGCTGACCCTCCAGAAGCAGCTGCGGCACCGCTTCCCAGAGCTGGCCGACCCTGACACCTGCTACGGGTTCAGGTACCCACAGCAGCCTCCGTCGGTGGGAAGCGGCCCACAGCCCAGCCACCACTGATCCTCTGCCCCATGCCAGGTTCTGCCACCAACTGGACTTCTCCACCAGCGGGGCACTCTGTGTGGCCCTGAACAAGGCAGCCGCAGGCAGTGCCTACAGGTGCTTCAAGGACCGGAGAGTCACCAAGGCTTATCTGGCTCTGGTAAGGCCCAGCTGGTCCTTGGAGCAGGAGACTCCAACTCTCAATCCACTTTGATAGCCTCTGGCTGTCAGATGGGTTTCCCAGCAGTGGTGGGTGACCCCGTGAGCAGCGTGTGACCCCCTTCCTGGCAGGTGCGGGGGCACGTCCAGGAGAGCCGAATGACCATCAGCTATGCTATTGGCAAGAACAGCACAGAAGGCCGGACCCACACCATGTGCATTGAGGGCACACAGGGTACGGAGGGCAGGGGGTGGGGGCCAGGGGCACAGTCGTCCAGTGGGGACCCTGGGTAGGCTGGGGCAACCCGGGCAGGCGACCTGAGATTGGGGTGGACTCAGCCATGGAGCTGGCCCAGCCAATTCTCTGGGCTTTCCTTGCTCCCTTCAGGCTGTGAGAACCCAAAACCAAGCCTCACTGAGCTGGTGGTCCTGGAACACGGACTGTATGCAGGTGATCCTGTCTCCAAAGTGCTGCTGCAGCCTCTCACGGGTGTGTCCAGGGCGCGTGTGCCCAGGTCTCCTTGCTATCTGCTGATGGTGTCCTGCCTTGGGCATCTCCTGGCACAGGGCACCGAAGTGTCCCCATCACACAGGAAAGGAACCTGCCCAGGGTCTCCCAGCATTGCTGGCCAGGCTGACTCCTCCCCCACACTCAGCCTCACAGGCTGCAGCCTCTTGCCCTGTACAAGGTCGTTCTGGCCTGGGTTCTCTAGTTGATCGAGCATCGCCCTGGCCTCACCAGGGGCAACCCCAGAAGTCGCTTCCGTTCTGAGTTCTGACGTCTTCGTGGCATGAAACAGGGAGGTCTGCTGCCCCCAGGGGTTGTGTGAGGCTTCAAGGACAGTGCTGGGCATGACGTGAATGGGTAGGGGGTGGGCACGGGGTGGCGCCCCCGCCTGACTGGCCCCCTCTCCTCCCCAAAGGACGGACGCACCAGCTGCGCGTGCACTGCAGCACCCTGGGCCACCCCATCGTGGGGGACCAGACCTATGGCCAGGCCTCGAACCAGGAGGACCAGCCCTTCCGCATGATGCTCCACGCCTTCTACCTGCGCATCCCCACATGCACCGAGTGCGTGGAGGCCTGCACGCCCGACCCCTTCGTGCCCACCCTCGATGCCTGCTGGAGCCCCCACACCCTGGTGCAGCCACTGGACGAGCTCGTCCAGGTCCTGCGGGCTGCCCCAGACCCTGACCCCACAGAAGGGGGCCCCAGGCCCTGCAGCCCCTCCACGCCCCTGCCCGGGCCAGGCCGGCCCCCACCGCCCCCTGCCAAGCTCCCTGAGACAGAAGCACAGCGGGCCTCCTGCCTGAAGTGGCTGTCGGAGTGGACGCTGGAGCCGGACAACTGAGAGCATCGTGCTGGGGTGGGGATGGCAGGCTGGGACTCCAAGGGCTGGGGGCTGCAGGTCAGAGTCCTGGACACATCCCTGCAATGGCCAGGCCTGGAGCGGGGCCGGCAGGGCCAGCAGGGGGAGCCAGGCAGCTGCAATTCCAGAGGATTAAGCTCTTGGGCTGTGGGACCCACATGGGCCTCCCTCCCAACACCCCAACACCCACAAACTGCCCCAGAGCACCTCCCTGGTTCTAGAGCCTCAACCCCAGGAACTTATTTGTAGACTTGATCGGGGTCACCCTGGAAGAGGCAGAGCCAGGACCTGGGCCACCCTCAAGGTGGGCTCCTCCTGGGCCCCCAGACAACACCCCAGAGCACCGTGCTCCACGCTGCTTTGCTCGGACCCTCTGTGGCCATCACCCCAGCCTGGCTGGGTTCTCCATCTGCAGACCTCAACCCTCCTTGCTAGGCCCGTCTGACCTTGTGCCTTTGCTTCTGCTAGACTCTGCCCCCTCCACCTGCATCCTGAGTGTCTCACGTGCCATCCCTCCAGGCCTGCCCTGAGCGCTGCTCCATGGGGTCTTCCGGGCCCCTAATTGCGGCTGCTGCCTCCATCACCTGCCTGGCAATTTCCAGGCAGGACCTCAGCCTGGGAGCAAGGGCAGCCCGCCAGCCCCCGCCTCCTCCATCCCCACAACACGGCCACGCCTCCCCAGCCATAGCTGAACTCTGAGAACTGGGAATAAACGCTCAATGACTGACCCTGCAAGTGACCATGAATGTGCCTGATGTGGGGATTTCAGGGGGGCTCAGACCCCCACCCCATCCCTTCACTGGACAGACCTTTGCCCTAGACCCCAACAGGAGCCAGGACGGACCTTATAATCCTAGCTGCTGACCTGCCCACCCCCCATACAGTGAACACCCTGCAGCCCTGGTGTGGGGGCTGGGCTCTGAGTAGGGGACAGAGCTGGGTCAGCTGCATCCCTGGAGGACCCCAAGACCCACAGCCAAAACCATCAGAGCATCCACCTGGTCCCACCAGGGTTCTCCGTAGAGCTGCTGCCCTCACAGTGCAAACCTTGGGGCCCTCCAACACCTCAGAATGCCACGGGAGGGCTGGCGCCTAGGTCTCCAGCCAGTTTGAGGTCACACACCATGTCCCTGTGCCCAACTAGGCCAGGCCCCTCCTCTTGGCCGGCCAAGGCAGACAAGCCCTATTGTGGGGCTCCTGGGCTCACCCCACCTGTAACCACAGCAAGCTTTCAGCCCGGGTGGAGCCAGAGGCAGCCCCCCCACCCCACCCCCACCCCGCATGGGGCCTCTGCAGAGACCCAGGTCCCAGCCTCTGCTCCCCCGTCTCCTCATCTGTAACAGGATCGGAGGGACCCACGGGGCAGCAGCCCGGACAGATGGATGGCTACTGTGATGTGCCCAGCACAACCCTTTCTCGTCAGATGGGGGCGGGGTGGGAGAGCATCACCTTCCTGGCACTCCCAGCACCTCACCTCCTTGCTGAGGACTGCCCCACCTCTCACCCCACCACGCTCTGCTCCACCTCCTTCCCACTACCTTCACCCTCTGCCCTCCTCTCCCCGCCACCATCTGCCCCCCCACACCCTAATGCCCTCCTCTGCCATCAACTCTTACCTGTTTCGCCCCCTTCTCAGCATTTCACCACTGTGTCCTCCTTAGGTCCCTGCGGAGCATCAGCCCCTCACCCCCAGCGTGGCCCGGCCCACAGACCCTGCTCAGTGAGTGTGTATAGAGAATGAAAGAATGGTCCCCAAAGGACTCAGGGCCGTGAGCCCACTTTGTGCAGGCTTCCCACCTCTCCCCACGCCCGCTCCTCACGGCCCCACTCCCTACACCTCTGGGCGGTGCTCAGCCACTGTCATGCCTGCTGTTGCCACACGGGGTCACTGCTGACCCCGGCCCCTCATAGCCCTGTCCTCTTGAGACTGCGGTGACCTTTGGAAGTTCCATTTCCCATGGACACACCCAGGTGCTTCCCAACTGCTGGCACCTGCCAGAGGGTCTGGACCTACAGGGGCTGTGGCCAAGCCAGGACCACCCTGACAGCCCTTCCTTCCAGGTGCCCCCAGGGGCCCCTCCCCACCCAGCTCAGGCAGGGATACCCCACAACACCCCAAAGGGTGGCCAGGTCTTCCTCCCTGTGCCCCAGCGACTGGCCACGTGTTGGGGCCCTCCCTGGGGCACAGGTCCTGAACTCTGGAGGGCGTTTCTCATGCCAGGACAGAGAGAATCATTTTTCTTCAGCTGGCTGGCATCATTGCTGTCCCCCCGCTCAGGTCCCAGGAAGCTGCTGGTGAGGCCAGGGAGCCAAGGGTCACCCCCATCCCCACCCTTCTGTAGCCAGGAGTCTCGGCTGGGCCAGGACCCAGCCTCCAGGGCCCCCACCCCCGACCCCAGCCACAGGGACAGGAGCACACAGCTGCCGCCACCACGTGGCCCTGGGGCTCCAGCCCCTGCTTACTGCCAAATGGCCTGAGGAGGTCAGCCAGGTTGGGGCCTTGGGACGACCCTGACTGATGGTCTGCAGGGTAGGACCAGTTGGCTGAGGAGGGGCCTAGGAGAGAGCGGAGGGCAGGCGTGACCTGCCGCAGAGCACTGACCTGGGTATGACAGCCTGGCTCAGGGCCCATGGGCTGAGGCTGCAGAGCAAGCGACAAGACAGACAGGAAGAGGGGTAGACTGGACAGACAGACAGGCAGCCACGGAGGGAGGGAAGGCAGGATGGAAGGGCAACAGGGGCCCATGGGTAGGAACTGGCCTGGGGATGTTCCATGTATATTTCCCCTCTCCCCACAGCCTGGCTCCTCCCCCTGAAGAGCCCTGTCAGCCCCTCTGAGAACCCCCAGGACCACAGATCCCGATCTTGCTCCCTACAGGTATGCTGCCTCTCCCGTTGGCCCCAGGACATGGGGTCCACCCAGTCCATCTACCCCCCACAGCCTACTGTGGGGCAGCCCGTGAGCGGTCATGCTCCAGGGGGCACAATGTCGGCAGGTCAGGAGCACACCCAAGTGCCCAACCCTGCCCCTGCTCACTCTGCGTGGACAGGGACAAGCCGTCAGCCAGCGTGGGCCTCAGTCTCCTCGTGTGTACGGTGAGCATTGTGCCATGCTGCTGGCGGGGGCCGGATTCCAAGAGCAGTACGGGACAGAGCTGGGGATGGGTGTGACTCTCTACAGCCCAGCACTTGCTCTGTTGCTGTGGTCATTTGTCCACCCGGGGCCTTGGGCTTCCCTAGAGGCCAAACCCAAAAGGGGCAGCCAGCAACTGGCCTCCTGCACTCACTGGCCTATGGGGAGTGTCCTTCAGCCAGGCCCGGACCCTGGGGTGGGTGGAGACCCCACCACCAAGTGACATCCCACCCCCACAGACCCCTCAGCACCCAGAGCTCCAGCAAGCCCTCAGCCAAAACTGACTGCTCCAGAGCTGACCAGCCAGCCTCAGGGGGTCAGTGCTAGAGCCCAGGGTGAGCCTGCCCACCTCCAGTGGGACCTGCTCCCTGGACCCCGCCCCCCTCCAGA